CACAGCCTGGCAGGCTGAAGCGTCAAGTCGGGGTGAATTAGGCCCAAAGGCGCAGCTCCCCGAAACCCTAACCCTAAACCCTCAACCCTAAACCCTAAACCTCAACTCAGCCCTGTGCATGGCGAGATGCAATCGTGACGCCGCTGACCTCGTGTGGGCCCGTATGCCTGTTCGACCCAGTGCTCGGCAGCGGGTGCAGGAAAGTCGCGCTTGCCTGTGGTGGGGGGCTATGCCAAGCTTTACAAGGATTCAAGGAACTCAAGCGGACCCCTTATGAGGGACCTAAGGGGTTGTATTTAGGGTCCGTTCTAGGCGCCCCTCCTTATACCCCCTAAAGGATGGCCCTTCACACCCTCTGAATATATTCCTGCACATGATCCTCTTGTCTCAAACCAAATAAGGGAAAATGTAAACTGTCCCAAGGGCGTACCGAGTTTACCTGCCCCAAACCGCACCAATGTAAAAGGCTTTAGACTTCAGCATGCCAAATATAGGGTCCCCCCTACCCAAGCACCCACCCCCACCCATCCAGGGCTCGGCCAGCAATGTACAAGCTCGACCGCTGATCCCCTCCCCCTCAGTATTCACCCCCGCTTACCCCCATTTTAGTTAGATGATAGTATATGGGGGGGGTTTAATCTTAGGGGGAGGGGATTCCTGGCTCTGGGATTTCGGGCATGTACTTTTTGAGAATTCATTAGGGTTCATGTGCTCACATCGTTAGCCGCTTGGGTTGCTCCATCAGGAACTTCCCGGACAGGCAAGACCCTGATTTGTGCACCCCAAACCCTAAACCCTGAACCCTGAACCCTGAACCCTAAACCCTAAACCCTAAACCCTAAACCCTAAACCCTAAACCCTAAACCCTAAAGCCTAAAGCCTAAAGCCTAAAGCCTAAAGCCTAAAGCCTAAACCCAAACAAAAACCTAAACCCGAAACCCGAAACCCTAAACCCTAAACCCTAAACCCTAAAGCCTCGAGTTTGAAGCTTAAAGTTGACACGCCAACTGCAATCTTCAAATAGCTACATGGTCCCTCAATATGGGCCGCGAATTGGAGAGCCCTCAGTCAGAACAAGATAAGGGACCACATGACGGGACCCTGCAACTTCCCTTACTTGGAGATTCATGGTACTTATGGACCCATTATGACTGTACTTATAACTGTACGAATAGCCAGATTCGGGCACCTAAGGGGCTTATCAGTGGGTTATTACATTGAGAATTGGTTAAGAAGTACCATGAACCTCCTAAAACCTGAACCCGAAACCCCAGACCCTAAACCCTAAACCCTTATCCCTGTACAGTTATAACTCAGCTTTGGAGTAGACCCTGGAAAAAAGTATAAACTTTTAAGGTATAAGTAGCTATTATAGGAGCCCAGAACCAAGAAAAGTATTAAAGTGTAGTACTCCAAAACCTAGATAAAGCAGTCAGGCTGCGCGCAGTTCTTCTGGGACCACTGCGATGCGCAGCCCGCGGGACGGCAGTGTGCGAAGCGCCTGCGCCTGCACCCAAAGGGCCCTAAACCCGAACTGACCCTAAACCCTAAACCCTAAACCCTAAACCCTGAACCCTAAACCCTAAACTCTAAACCCTAAACCCTAAACCCTAAACCCTAAACCCTAAACCCTAAACCCTAAACCCTAAAACCCTAACCCTAAACCCGAAACCCTTTGGGGGTTGACCTAACTGATGGGTCCTGTAGGGCCCTCTATTCTGGACTATGCCTGAAACCTGGTCGTTTAGGGTAATCTCGCAGCCAGATTTCAAGTTTCAGTCTCAGTAGGGCGGAGCTTTGATCAAGCTTGCCTTGTTTCTGCCTATCTTCAGGCGCTAAACCCTAAACCCTACCTAAACCCTCAACTCTAAAAACCTCCAAACCCGGGGTAGCGAATCAGGATCTGCGTCGGGGGGACTCCAAGAGAACAGAGACTCAAGAAGCCAAATGACAACCTCCCACCTACCAAAACGGCACAACAGAGGGTTTAGGGTTTAGGGTAAGAGCCCGAAACCCTAAACCCTATGAAGGCTTTTGGGGTCCGGGGCTTGAGTGGGTTTAGATGGTTCCTTCACCTTAGGCGTTTCGTCCCTGCAGCGTTGGCGATGTCAGTGGTTTAGGGTGTCAGATCTGGGGGGGGGGGGGGAGGGCAAAGTCTCCTACTAGTCCTCTTAAGCCTATAGTACGAGAATACGAAGAACTCGAATCTAGACGCAGGAGTACATTAGAATAAGGGAACCCCAGCCCTAAAAAAGGAAATACGGGCCTACTCCGGGGCCTACAAGGAGGGGCCCCCTTACTCTACTACTGGTAACTAGAGTTAAGGGATTTATGACATAATTTAGGATCCTTATCACCTAATTTATGGTCCTTATGACTCTACTTATAACTAGGGGGGGGGGCCTCCTTGTAGGAATAGTGACAATGAGGGGGACACCCCCCCCGGCGCGGCCTCGTGCGCTAAGCGCGCTACTGTCATCAGCGGCCACCTTGCCAGTGAAGGAGGTGGGCGAAGGGTTTAGGGTTTAGGTTTAGGGTTGAGGGTTGAGGGTTTAGGGTTTGGGGTTTGGGGATAGAAAGTTCAGGGCTTACAGATACACGCAAAAGAAGTTCTTTAAAAAAGGTTCCCCACGAAAAACACCCAATTAGAACAACCCTTGGGTAATTAGCGGTGAGAGCTGCGACAGACCATCTTCATCTGCGCCTCTTGCCACTGGCCACGATATGTCTATGCATCACACAATGATGGTTCTCATTCCGGCTTTACCCTTACGAAAGTGACTGCGAAAAGGACGTCGTGACAGGGTCTAGGGTTTAGGGTTTAGGGTTTTAGGGTTTTAGGGTTATAGGGTTATAGGGTTTTAGGGTGTAGGGTTTTACGGTTTATGGGTTCGGGCTCACATACGGGCAAGCCTGAACCATGAGGCTCAGACGTGCTAGGGAAGGAGCGGATGACTGCCGCGGTGGACTCTTTGATGGACATCTCTGAGACGATGGCAGCCTGCCGGTTTCTACCACAGGAAGCCGAAATCAACCCCTAAACCCTAAACCCTAAACCCTCTCACCCTAAACCCGAAAACCTGTACCAGGGACTCGATTGAACTTCAGCTTTCTTGGCTTAGACCTAGTGATGAAGAAGTACTTGCAACTAAATACTGCAGGTCAATACGCAATACTATGTGTGACTAGTAACTATATACTTTGTATATTCCCATTTCTCTACGACTATATTTGCCGTTATACAGTTAAAACCTAAGAGGTTTGAGGCAAACGGAATTAAGATTAGGACCATTAGGAGCTCGCGGCTGGCAAAGGATTTAACGCTTCAGTGCTTTAGGGTCTAATGTCCTCTGAGCGCTTACGCCCAAGCAAACCGGATCGCTGTTTAAACCCTAACCCTAAACCCTAAACCCTAAACCCTAAACCCTAAACCCTAAACCCTAAACCCTAAACCCTAAACCCTAAACCCTAAACCCTAATAAACCCCCATGGTTCTGCTGGGCATTCTCGGGTGAGGCTTTGGGGCTCATAAGCCAGTCACATCCAGCTGCGATTGGTTGATACATTGAGGGTTCAGGGTTTGCCTAAAGGCTCCTGTGTAGCACCTTTTAAGTGTAATACACGTGAATCCCCAAACACCAGCCCATCCCCCCCCCCCCCCCCCCCCCCCCCCCCTCCCCTCCCCCCCCCCCCCCTCCCCCCCCTCCCCCCCCTCCCTCCCCCTCCCCCCCCTCACCCCTCCTAAACCTGAAACCCTTAACGCCTTAACCCTGAACCCTAAACAAAAACCCAAAATGCTGGCCTCCACCCGACGGCGTTTGGAAGGCGGGAGGTCATGGCACTCCATGTTGGCTCGGTGCTTTTTTGTGCTGTTGCGGCTTAAGGGCTCTAAGGGCTTAAGGGCCTAAGGGTTTAAGGGTTTCAGAGCTTAAGGGCTTAAGGGCTTAAGGGCTTAAGGGCTTAAGGGTTTAAGGGCTTAGGCCCTAGGAAGAGGTAAGGGTGTACGCTTAGGGTTTTAAGGCTCGTGCTTTGGAATGGAGCTTAGGGCTTAGGGGCTTCTTTGTCACGTGGCTCGGTCCAGGGTCTAAGCCCTAAAGCCTAAACCCTGAACTTGCTTAGGGCTTAGGGCTTTGGGCTTAGGGCTTAGGGCTTAGGGTTCAGGGCGTTTGGGTTTAGGGTTAGGGGTTAGGGGTTTGGGTTTAGGGTTTAGGGCTCAGGGCCTTTTGAAGCTCAGGGTTTAAGGCAAGGAAGTGCTGGAGGCTCCAGATGCAGCCTCCTCCCTTCTTGAACCATAAAGCACGAGTGATGTAAACGCAAGACCCTGAACCCCAGCTAAACGCTCAACCCTAGACCCTAGACCCTAAACCCTAAACCCTAAACCCTAAACCCGAAGCCCAAGGGAAAAAGATGTGGAGGTTCTTAAGCCTCAACTCACCGGTCCGGCTTCCTGAGATCACTCATGGCCAATCCGGAAGGCTGTATCAGGATTTTGCTACCTCAAGGAGGCTTAGGGTTTAGGGTTTAGGGTTTAGGGTTTAGGGTTTGGGGTTTGGGGTTTGGGGTTTGGGGTTTGGGGTTTGGGGTTTGGGGTTTGGGGTTTGGGGTTTGGGGTTTGGGGTTTCGGGTTTAGGGTTTAGGGTAGCACTCATGTATAGATAGATTGCCCAGCAACCTTGGAATTGTTGTCTAGAAGAGTCTAGAAGCAAAACCCGCCAGAAGAGGAAGAAGGGTACTACGGCCATGCTCGATTGGGGGCATCCGACCGGCCCTACCCTTGGCCGTGGGCTTATCTTGCGTAACCCTTGCATCTTCAGCAAGAAGGCTAAACCCTAAACCCTAAACCCTAAACCCTAAACCCTAAACCCTAAACCCTAAACCCTGAACCCTGAACCCTGAACCCCACTGGTGTACAGGCTAGACGAATTACAGAGGTTTCACCAGGCAGGGCTTTGGATTCTTTTTGCACCATCCCAGCTCGCTCGCAGTCGCGGCCGTAGGCGTCAGAAACCTGGCTGCGAGATGCAGCAGGTGGATGGACTAAGACCCTTCAGCTTGCAGATGGACCCCAGAGAGCAGCGCAAGACCTCCTAAGGAAGTACTAGAAGCCATGGAATATACCTTGCATAAGGAATCCCTATACAGGGCTTAAGCTATCTGCCTTTTGGGCTCTCTGGGCACCTCGAACCCTCAACCCCAACAGTGCCGAAGCTGTCGGATTTACCCCAGAACCCTCAAATCATAAGGACCTCCGGGTAGCAAATTGCGATTTAGGGCAGGCTTCCTAAAATTCGGGGTCCTTTGTGCTGACTGAGAAAGTATAAGCTGACAAGCCCAAACTTTAAACTTCCGATCCAAGCTGACTGTCTCTTCGTAGGGAATGAGAGAATTAGGCAGCCTATACAAGAACCCCTCAAAGGGTGTATATACATAGGGGGGAGTTAAGCTACATAAGACAAAGCAATATCGGCAGCTCTTGAGATAACAATGTGGCTGCCGATCTTTAGAACCTCACGCACGCACACTGGGACAGATAATTGGAAAAATCCATGGGGTTAGGGTTTGGGGTTTGGGGTTTAGGGTTTAGAGTTTAGGGTTTAGGCCAAAAGAGAAGTGCCTCATGCTTTCAAAATCCCTCCGAGGGTTCCTAGCATCCCAAAGGCAGGAAGTTATTTGAGGTACCAGAGACTCCAATGTCCCTTCTTGAGGGAATGCCGGAACACCTCTTTACCCGCGATTGGCGGGTGTGGTTGAGACACTTTCACGGGCCTGGCATGGGAGATCTTTCAATGACTTTGTAATTCTTTTGTGTGGGGGAGGTTGGGATGGGGTGGGGGGTGCCGAACCAGAAAGCTTGGATTCCAAAAAATAGTTTACGGTGTAGTGCTTCACGGGACTGAGGCGCGAACACGGTGTGGACGGCGTTTGCATAGGAAAGCCACCTTGACGAGACTCTGCCTGCTGGACAGGGACATATGGGGGTTTACGAAGATCAGGGACTCCTAGAATAGACCCCCAAATCGTAGTAGGATTCCCTTCTAATCAAGACACCAATAAGGTACCCCTATCGTAAACCCCCATAAACCCTAAACCCTAAACCCTAAACCCTAATCCCCATATCGGTGAAAATGAGCCGGAAGCTGCCAATCTCGGGCTCCCAGCCCACCTAGGAAGCAAACAGCTACCCATTCTTGCCTACTGGGTCTTGCTATGGGATAAAAAGGCTCTGGAAAAAAAACGGCTAAGGGCACCGAGCCCAAAAAGGCTCCATTGCAACATCCGACCCACTGTGGTAGGGGGGCCTTGTAAGGATTGTATAGGGGGCTAAGGGCAATGAAACTTCTCAAAGTATGTTCAAACCTACCCCCGAAGACCCTTTCTACTTGAAACAAAAAAACACGTCTCACAAGCATTTGTACGGCTGCATGTTCGACTTCCAGCGCAAGCTCATGTGACCTGGGTTTTTCAAATTTTTTCTCACGCCTAATCCTCTGAACCCTCAGACCCGAAAATAGGGGTTGGGGGTTATGGGGGTTTGGGACTGTAGGGTTACCAAACCACCCCCCCCCCCCCCAAACCCCCCCCCCCCCCCCCACTTCCCACCCCCCCCCCCCCCCCCCCTTCCCCCACCCCCCCCCCCCCACCACCCCCCACCCAAAGAGAGAGACCTGCAGCTTCCATGCACACACCACCACGACCTGCGAGCGTTGCTTTCAGCAGTTTAGGGTCTTGCCGAGACAGCGAATTTTCAGTGTCCTTTTTGAAAAGCACCTACTTCTCTTGCTACCCTAAACCCTGAACCCTTCTACATGCTCCAAGAAGGAAGCTGAAATTGGCGGTCTGACGTCGAGTATTCCTGCTGCAGGGTTCAAAGGCTCAATGGGCCCCAAGAAAGTCATAGTCCTTGCAACTAATGCAAGCAGTCCTTACTAGGGATTATAGTACCCCTTATTCTAATCCCTAATAAGGACTGCTAGTATAAGGGGGAACATCCCAACATAGGGCTCTAGATTCCGTAGATGCCCTTGAATGAGCTGTGGCTTGCCATTCCCCGGGAGGAGAAAGCATCCAAGAGGGTTTGTAGGGCTTAGTGTGCAGGAGTTCGGTTGAGGGTTTTGGGATCGTGTCCCATGTCTTTGGGAATTCAAGTGACACAATGGTCGTATCTATCAAAGCAACAGTGTATTGTGTATGTAATGGCGCCATCATGTAGAGTGCACACAAGCTAAAGTTATTCAATTGGAGGATCAAGATCACATGTGTAACATGAATATGGTGGTTTGCGAAAATAGGGAACCCCTAATATAGACCTCCAAACAGTAGGATTCCCTTACGAAAAGAGACCCCAATAAGAAACCCCTAAAGCCTAAACCCTAAACCCTAAGCCCTAAGCCCTAAGCCCTAATACAACAAGTTCTAGTATGTACAGTCATTCCAGACCCATGGCATCCTCTGGGAGCTCAACCCTAGTATGATGGCGACCCGTTGGACTCTTGTAGTTACAATATCTTCAGAAGGGCACCCTTTCTTGGGTTGGTTACTTTATAGCCTTGAACCTCAAAAAACGGACAAAGGTCCCCACTGGATTACCAAACCCTTGGAGTCATGTGTGAAGGAAGGGAATGCCTGCGGCGACTCACAGACAATCATTTGGCCACCTCACCTTTGCGCCCCCCCCCCCCCCCCCGCCCCCCCGCCGCCCCCCGCCCCCGCCCCCCCCCGCCCCCCCCCCCCCCCGCCCCCCCCACCCCCCCCGCCGCCCCCCCCCGCCCCTCCCCGCCCCTCCCACCCACTACTTTGCAATCTACAAGTGTGGAGTGAGGACGTTTTGGCTTCAAGGAAACATGGCCAGCAGCTGGTTGTGCTCATGTATCAAGAAGGAAGCACGAAGCTCCAGTCCAGGAGTCCACCCCCTGGGGCCGTGGCCAGGAGGGCACGATCAATCTGGTGCAGCAGGCTGTTCACAAGCTTTTGACGTCCTGGGCGGCCACCCGGCTATTTTTGCCTAGATCGAACTTGCCAAAAGAACCCCTTTGTTACTTCGTGGGTTCTCTGAGTCTCGACAAACAAGGGCTTGGGGCTGGGGTTTAAGGTTCGTTTCATTTGGGGTTTTGTGGGAACCTCGCAGCTTTAATCAAGAAAACAAGAGCCACGAAGCTTGGGGTTATATACCTGCAAGGAGGGCCCCCCACCCTCCGCCCTACCTAGACCCAAGAACCCTATGAATAGACTGCGGCCGAAGACTCCTTCCACCCGGCTAGCGCCATCCTGGAATATGTCAGGAAGCTGCTGTCTACTGTCTTTGCGAGTTTCATCCTATACCCTAAACCCTAAACCCTGAACCCTCAAACCCTCGAACCCAAACCTTAAGCCCCAAGCCTCTAAGCATGGGCCGTCGCGACCACACCCAAAAACTTGGGATGTTCCCCCTTATACTAACAGTCCTTGATAGGGATCATAGCACCCCCGATTAGAATCCCTATTGAGGACTGCTAGTATGAGGGGGAACGTCCCAACCCGAAACCTCTAAACCCAAAACGAGGGGGGAATTGGGTTGAGGGTTGAGGGTGGTTTACTTGGAGGTTTCATGACATGGTACTTCATAACCCAACTATAACAGCACTTATAACCCAATTATAACCTTGTTAGGGCACTTCAGGGGCATTTAGGTGGGTCATAAGTACAGTTATACTTGCTTAATAAGTACCATGAACCTCCAAGCAGGGGCTGGGCTCTTCCAGAACCCTAAACCCTAAACCCTAAACCCTAAACCCTAAACCCTAAACCCTAAACCCTAAATCCTAAATCCTAAATCCTAAATCCTAAATCCTAAACCCAAACCGGCCATGGACCCGTGTAGGGCTTGGCATGGCGCTCGTTTCTATGATTGCAATACGTTCAACTCTGCTGGGCAGGTTTGGGGGCCCTATGAAACTATTCTGTTATGGCTTGTCATGGCTTCCTAGGGACTCTCTAGGGGACAAAGGGCAATTACACATTGAAAACATGTTCTAACCTACCCCTGTCGAGTCTTCCTGAATACTCGTATTTCTGGTATTGATCTATACACCCTGTAGGGTTTAGGGTTTAGGGTTTAGGGTTTAGGGTTCAAGCTGGTATTTGTTGTCTGCCGCGGGTGTGTGTGTGTGTGTGTGTCCACCAACCTCCACCAGGAGGCTCCTCGACTAGTAGACCCTAAACCCTAAACCTTAAACCCTACACCATACAGGGTTTAGGTTTGGCTAGACCCAAAACCTTAAACCCCTTAGAACTTTACGCCCAAACATGGGCATGGGCGTGTAACCCTGAGCACCGACCGAAACCCTGAATTAAACCCTGCAGAGTCTAGGGTTTGCGCCGGCCCCCCTTCATCTCGCAAAGCAGACATAATTTTAGAATCTGCCCCCCCCCCCCCCCCCAAAAAAAAAAAAAAAAAATCCTCACTTTCTGCCCCCCCCCCCCCCCCCCCCCCCCAAAAAAAAAAAAAAAGTCCTCACTTTCTCGAAAAGAGACCCCTCAATTTCGGCATCCCCTCCATATTGGTTTGTTGCCCCTAAGTCGCTTACACCGCAGCAGAAGCATGCTGTGAGCCGTGAACGCTGAAGCTGTTAAACCTTCAACCACAGCGACGAAGCAATGCAGCAATGGATCCTGCTGCAATCCGCGAGGACCGGAAAACCTGCGACATCAGGATCTCATAAGATGGAGTTGAGAGGCCAGGCGTTGGGGGGAGTTTCTGCCACTTGCCACTAGCAGCATGTAGTCACGATTTCACAGCAGGCCGCCGTCCCTTCCCCCCCCCCCCCCCCGGTCCCCCCTCTCGAACATGTCATGCCATCAGCCTCCTACGTGCAAGGCTTCGCGAAGTTGTCCTCCACAACTGCAGCACCACAGACCTGTAGCTTGGGATGGATCGGGGTTCTGAGTTGCAAGGTCTCGGCCTTTGTGTCGAGGCATCACAGCCGCACACCCCAGGCCGCGACACGTGAGTGTGCAACATGGGACGCGAAAAACTCAAGAGCTCCTGAACCTTGCGCCTCAATAATTGATTTCAGGCTGAGCTGCGCCCCCCCCCCCCTGCGCCCCCCAAAAAAACCTTGTATGGATATACGGAGTAGGAGCTATGTGTTCCTGTAAGTGTCGTAGATCCTAGTCCCCTAAGCAGTACAGCTTCGCTGTGTTCGCGTTCAAAAAAAGGGGCCAAAAGGAAGCAGGGGGTTTAGGGTTCCTGGGGTCCCAAAACCCTAACCCCTAAACTCTACCCAAACACTCTGTGAAGTACCTTTTTTGGGGTAGTATACTAGAGTCCCCTATATAACAAACCCAAAAAGGAACGACATTGGAGCCTTTGGGTATATCCTAAACCCTGCAAACCCTACAAGGCAATCATGCGGCCAGGCATCAGGAAAGGCTTCCAAAGCAAGAGCAGAGACTCCTCCCCCGAACGAGACTCAGGAGACCGTGAAACCCTAAAGGGTTTAGGGTTTAGGGTTTAGGGTTTAGGGTTTAGGGTTTAGGGTTTAGGGTTTAGGGTTTAGGGTTTCGGGTTTAGGGGTTTACAAGGAGGGGACTAATGGTTCAGGCACTTCTGTAGCATATGTTAGGATCATACTTAACCAGCTTAAAGCCCTTATAACGTCACTTGTAGCTAGGGGTCTCCTTCTTGCGGGGTCTAGGGCATAGGCTTTCGGGTTTAGGGCCTCAGACCTGGGCCTAAACTAAGCACACTGCGTTCCCTCAACTCTAAACTGGCCGGATCTGTCCCGTCCTACTAGCAGAGAGCCCCTATGCCATCCAGGTCCAGAATCCGGCACTTGTCACCCCCCGCCCCCTCCCCCCGCTTGATTCAGGGAAGTGCAGCCACATTGAGTGTGTTTCAATGTTGGCGCGTCCACCTTGTGCTTAGCTAACGTGCACATCCTTCTTATTGTGCCGCTCTTGCTTCAGCATCGGTTGGATGCACCATCCCAAGCCACCAGCACAGAAGCTATTTGCTCCAAGGCAAACAAAAGCGCTTTCCTGAGATTCATGTTTCTTTAACAAACTCAACAGCTGGATGTCATCAAAAGTAGGAGTGTGCGTGCCTGTTCCAACCATCATCCCTGCTGCTGCGGTCACCATCATCCTAGAAAGTTTTGTCTTCTATTGACGATCTACATTCTCCAAAGGAAAGGGACCCCTAAACCCTAAACCCTAAACCCTCAACTCTAAACCCTAAACCGCCTAAACCCTAAACCCTAAACCCTAAACCCTAAACCCTAAACCCTAAACCCTAAACCCTAAACCCTAAACCCTAAACCCTAAACCCTAAACCAAGCACAGGTGAATCCCGGATGCTGCCATGGAGGGGGGAGGCTCACGAGTGCGAAAATGACATCGGCCCTGGGCTTCCCCAGGGCGGTTTCTTAGGGTTTAGGGTTTAGGGTTTAGGGTTTAGGGTTTGAGGTTTGGGGTTTAGGGTTTAGGTACCTTAGCAGCCCTATCGAGGTCCTTATGACAAGGGAATCCTAGTATTTTGGGGGTCTATTTTAGGGTTCCCCTATTTTCGTAGAACCGCAAATTCAACGACTCTGCAGCTTGTATACTTGGGATTCAGGGTTTTGGGGGTTGAGGGTGTAGAGACCCGGCTCCCCTCCAGTACCCTCCAGCATTCTCCATAAGGCCCTGCTACTATGGGCCCGAGAATCCCGCCTAAGGCTGGCGGGCCGGGTTGGAGGGGGGGGGGAGAGATAGATGAGTTTTATAGCCTAGGGCCTAGGACCCTAAACCCTAAACCCCGAAAACGTAGGCGTGAGGGCTGAGGATCTAGGCGATTTTTAGGCTCGCTCCTGCATCACACTGTTCGCGTCCTCCAGCCTTGGCGCTCACATGTGGTTCTAAATCGACTTCAGGTTCACTGACCTAGGCTTCAAGGTTTAGGGTTTGGAACCCTAAACCCTAAACCCTAAATCCTTCAACATACAGCTTTCCCTGTGCTCCCACCAGGCCCTGAAGCTTCCAACCCCATGAGCCCGCAACCTCGTCAACCCTAAACCTTATAAAACCCGACCCAAAAGCCGAAATCCTAAACCCTCAGCCCTCAACCCGAAGTCCGAAACCCCAAGCCCTAAACCCTAAACCCTAAACCCCAAAACCCTAAACCTTGCACTACCTAAACCCAAGGCTTAGGTTTGTTTAAACGCCCCACGTCCGACAAGATGCCTTGCTCGGCCTCTACAAGCTTTATTTTTTTAGGGTTTGATTGGGTTTTATAGGGCTTAATAGGGTTTTTAGGGTTTGTAGGGTTTACAGGGATGGTTTAGGGTTATAAGGGCCCTAAACCCTAAACCGGGTTTCGGGTTTGGATTTCGGGTTTAGACTTCTGGCGTTGTAAGTATCCAAAGTTTGGCTACAAGTCCCTTAGCTATAGATCGTATAGTCCTTGCGGAATCAGTTTGCCCCCTTTAACGTGCCAAGGCCCCGAATACCCTAAACCCAAACCCTAAACCCTAAACCCTAAACCCTAAACCCTTAACCCTAAACCCTAAACCCTAAACCCTAAACCCTAAACCCTGCGAATCCTCCTCAACTCTAGATCGTAGGGCTTCGGGTTTAAGTTTACCCTTGTTGACCGAAGCCCCAGCTAAGTCTTCAGACCAGGGTCTGGACGTTAAAACCCTAAACCCAAAGCCCTAAACCCTAAAACGGGGTTTAGGGTTTAGGGTTTAGGGTTTAGGGTTGTAAACCCTAAACCCCTGAAGCTCCAAACCCTGAAACACCACCAGGCTGCAAATCCTCAAGATCGTGGCTCCACTCCGCTTGCGGAAGCTGGGAGCCTGGGCAGAACTGACGTACATGAATGTGTGGAGGGTTTAGCGTTTAGGGTTTAGAGTTTAGGGTTTAGAGTCTAAGTGACCAAGGAATACACAAAACGAGAAGGGTTTACCGTTTCGGGATTTAGGATTGGGGAAGGTCCATGAGGGAACCCAATCACCCTAAACCCTAAACTTGGGGGAGGGGGGGGTAGTTGACGAAGTGAAACATAAGGTCGCGGCCCCCTGACGATGCCGTCAACCCTACCTACACCCCCCATCGTACCTTTCAAAATGCACTATGTAACACCCTTTAAGCCCTTCTTAAGGGGTACTTGGCGGGGGGGGGGGGGGGAGGAAGGTAAACCCTAAACCTACTGAGGCCCCAGAATGCTGGCAACTTGATTCCAGGCTTTAGGTTTAGGGTTCAGGGTTCAGGGTTTAGGGTTTAGGGTTTAGGGCCAGGCCCAAAACCCTGAATCCTTAGCAGGTTTGCTTACCTGCACTGATGTCAGGGTCGCTTGAATGAACCGAGGACTTGTTCCGGCGCTGGGTCAGAACAAAAGTTTGCCCGTAAAATCCTACTGAATGAAACGTACCCGAAAAACCCGCAACCCCAAACCCCAAACCCCAAACTCGTGCTCTTTCAACGCTATAACCCTAGTCAGCAGGTACTAAACCCTAAACCCTAAACCCTAAACCCTAAACCCTAAACCCTAAACCCTAAACCCTAAACCCTAAACCCTAAACCCTAAACCCTAAACCCTAAACCCTAAACCCTAAACCCTAAACCCTAAACCCTAAACCCTAAACCCTGTCTGCCGCGAGGGCGCGCGACCTTGCCTCTCTGGGAACATGGTGCAGGCTCGCTCCGCAAAGCCCGACCTCGGCTGACCGGCTTAGGGTTGAGAGTCTAAGGCTTTTTGGTAGGGTTTAGGGTTTAGGGTTGAGGGTTGAGGGTTGAGGGTTGAGGATTGAGGGTCTAGGGTCAAGGGTTTAGGGCTTAGGGGTTTAGGGCTTACTTGGAGGTTCCTACACTTAAGAGGCTTATGAGGGGGGGTATAGTAGGGTATGGGTTGTTTAGGACATGGGTGTTTACGAAAACAAGCCCCCTGATACTAAGGACCCAGCAAGGTACCCCTAATTTCAGGGTGTAGGGTTTGGGCATTTAGGGTTCCGTTTTATTATTGGGTTTCGGGTTCAGGGTTTAGGGTTTAAGGTTTTGCAACCAGGCTGCCCGTGAGGCTGCATCTTGACCCAGGGCAACTCGGAACTCGGCGAAGCGGCACCAGGCGGAGAAAACACAGCCGAGAGCGAAGTTCTGCTCCTGATAGGGGAGTTGAGGGTCTAGGGTTTAGGGTTGAGGGTTGAGGGGTTCACCAAAATCCCCCCAAGTAATTACTCTCCTCTGTTTTTCCTTCGACGCGCCCGCGACTTTGGGCCCTAGAAAATCCCCAAAGCAAGTCTAAGTAGTAGCCTCAAGCTTCAAGGCAGCATAGGGGCCTTAATAATTAGAACAGGGTTTTGGGGGGTTACCATAGTAAAATTATAAAGGGACCCTGAGGGAAGACTACTGAGGGAATACTATGAAAATTCTTCCGACCCCCATAGTTTTTCAGTGTTTCGGCTGCAGAGTTGTTGGGAGCATGTGGGGTCTTGACTCGGTCTCTGCTCATAGCGCTCCAATGCGCAAGCTCACCTATCCCATAAACCCTAAAGACCTAGTAGTAGTAGTAGTAGTAGTAGTAGTAGTAGTAGTAGTAGTAGTAGTAGTAGTAGTAGTAGTAGTAGTAGTAGTAGTAGTAGTAGTAGTAGTAGTGGTAGTAGTAGTAGTAGTAGTAGTAGTAGTAGTAGTAGTAGTAGTAGTAGTAGTAGTAGTAGTAGTAGTAGTAGTAGTAGTAGTAGTAGTAGTAGTAAGTAGTAGTAGGTAGTTAGTAGTAGTAGTAGTAGTAGTAGTAGTAGTAGTAGTAGTAGTAGTAGTAGTAGTAGTAGTAGTAGTAGTAGTAGTAGTAGTAGTAGTAGTAGTAACCCTAAACCCGAAACCCTAGGGGCTCCAGATCAAAGCCTGTCAAGCCATGGGCCTCTCCCCCTTGCCCCCAGGTTGGGGGTTTGTTCCAAGGTTGCCTCCAAGTTCCAAGCTGAGGGGTGAAAGGACTCTGTCGCGCGTTAGAGGCTGAGAACTTAACTGTTGATGAGCTGAAAGTACCACACGCTCAGTCCTCCAGAGAGCGCTTCTCTAGAAGGTCGGAAGTGCATGTCAGCGAACGGTCAGCAGCTTGCTGAAACCACACTTGCGTCCGCTGCCGGCGCTGGCCAAGCATCACGCAAGCTGCCCAGGAGCCTTCGTAGCCCAGTAACCATATTATTCTAAGGGCACCCTTTTATGGGCTGGTGACTTTATAAGGGAACCATAACAGAAAAAAAAGGGTAAAGGGTACTTATAAGGGCACCCTTTTTTGGGCTGGTCACTTTATAAGGGAACCATAACCCAAAAAAAAAGGGTAAAGGGTACCCTAAACCCTAAACCCTAAACCCTAAACGCTAAACCCCAAACCCTAAACCAGGGCACCACTGGGCTGCCCAGGAGCTGAAGGCAATCAAGGCCCGGTGTCTGCACTCCAGTCGCTGGGCCAGGGGCAGGTGGGAGGTATTCCTTACTGCTGGTTGGCACAATATATTATACCCTCTTATGGGTTTAGGGTTTCGGGTTTCGGGTTTAGGGTTTAGGGTCTAGGGTTTAGGGGTTATAGAGTACCTCATTCCCCCCATTCCCTACTAGCCAGCAGCAAGATTCGTGTGGCGCAGTGCAAGGCACCAAAGTGACCAGACCAACATCTGCAGGAGGCATCCTCCGTGGCGTGCTCCGGCTAGGATGCAGTGCTGGCGGAGCTTCCAAACCTGGGTTGCCCAGTACCTAGAAAAGCGTGTCCTTGTTGTTCAATGGGGATTCATGAGGGCTCAACCCTCAACCCTCAACCCTCAACCCTCAACCCTCGACCCTCGACCCTCGACCCTCGACCCTAAACCCTAAACCCTAACCCTAAACCGTAAACCCAGCAGATTTACGAGGGAACCGCGAACAAAAAAAGGACCACGGGTGCTGCGAGGCATCCTAGTCACACGATTTGCCTTCAGCTCCTCGTACTGCCTGGTCCAGTCATGACGCTCTTGCAGAGCATGCTCCAAGTCGAGCACACGCTGCTGAAGCTGTCGCGCCTCCTGCTCCTGCTGAACTTTCGCCTCCTGCGCCTGGAGAAATGCAACCTGCACCTCACGCTCGTCTTCACGAAGCTTCTGGTGCCAGAAGTGCTGCCCTTGCCAGAGGAGAAGAAAGGACCAGCACTGGAAGGCCTGCCGACAGAATACATCCTCCTTTGACGCCTTTTTGTTCGATCTAACAGGCAGTGACATCAAGTCAGCAGCTATGGTCCCTTACCCTTGTTTATAGGGATCGAAACGATGGGCCCTTACTATGTGTAGTGTACAGTTTGGTGATATGACATGGGGCCCAAAAAAAGGGCCCGTACTTGGACCCCTAGAAGGATTCTAGGCCTTAGGGGTTTCCTTAATTGCAGGAAGGTTGGCACACTCGGTGCTATCATTCTTGCAGCTGGCGTAGTCTGCCAATTACCTGAACCCAAGTGGACCGACTTTATTGGATTCTTTGTCAATGTGCTTTCATATGTTATACTAAGCACAGAAACGGGTTTGGGAGAGGCGTCATGATGTAGATATCTGGAGGCCAATGATGTAGGTGTGGGTTCCCTAAACCAGAATATAGTAAGGGGCATCCCGAACCTAAAATGAAGCACTTCCTAACCCGACTTGTCTACTCACAGCAAGGGCGGCCACCTCCCTGCAGGGAGTTGCAAGCTCTTCCGAACTTCACCACATCAGCAATGACCCCCTCAAGACCTAGTATAGTTGTAGTTGGGTTTTTTTGTTTGAAACCCTAAGCCCTAAACCCTAAACCCTAAACCCTAGTCCCTAACCCCTAAACCCTAAGCCCAAAATCCAGCATCCCAACCTCGCGCAGCTGGAGCCGATCCTTGCCAGAAGACCTCAATTAAGGTTTAGGGTTTAGGGTTTAGGGTTTAGGGTTTAGGGTTTAGGGTTTAGGGTTTAGGGTTTAGGGTTTAGGGTTTAGGGTCTAGGGTCTAGGGTTTAGGGTTTAGGGTTTAGGGTTTCCAATGCCCCTGAATTTGGGGTTTATAGGGTTTGGGCTGTAAAGGCTGGTGGCCTCTTTATCACTTTTGCCCTAGATACCCCAATCAGAACCCCAAATATATACCCTATAAATCAAAACCCCTACTTAGAGAGACCGCCAACCCATGTAAGGTTTAGGGTTCAGGAATCAGGGATCAGACCCTCAATTCAGGAATATAGGGCTTACTTTAGGGTTTAGGGTTTGGTGGGGTATAAGTACAGCTATAGCTGGGTCTTAAGTAGCATGAACCTCCAAGTAGGGTTCAGGGTTCAGGGGTGGCCTTCAGGGTTCATAAGGGACTTAAAACCCAATTTAGGATCCTTATAACCTAGTTTAGGGTCCTTAGAACTCTACTTATAACTAGGGGGGGGCCCCTCCTTGTAGGGTTGTAGGTGTAGGCTCTGCAGGGTGGCTCTTCAGGTTTACGGGGTCTTCAGGCTTGAGGGCTTCAAGGCTTGGGGTCTTTAGGGTTTAGGGTTATTGGGGCCCTTAGGGTCTAGGCTAAGGGTCGCCGGCAATCAACCCGATATTAGGCATGCAGTTGCACTTCTCAAAGCCCCCGAAGCCCAGACATGGTACCACCAACGCATGTGCTTAGGGTTTGTGGGGATGCGGGAGGGGGGGGGTGGGGGGTGGGTGGGTGGGGCAGACCTGATGTTAAGGGTTGAATGGGGTTGCCGAGCTCTGGGACAACTCCCAAACCCAAGACCCAAACCCGAAGCAACCCTAAATCCTCAACCCTTAAACCCGTAAACCCTTACACCCCGAAACCCCTAAACCCCTAAACCCCTGAACCCCTAAACCCCTGAACCTAAAACCCTACACCCTAAACCCCTGAACCTAAAACCCTACACCCTAAACCCCTAAACCCCTAAAACCCTACACCCTAAACCCCTAAACCCCTAGACCCCTAAACCCCTAGACCCCTAAACCCTAAATCCTAAACCCTAAACCCCAAACCCTAAGCCCCAAGCCCCAAAAGACTCAGGTTTGGCCAAGGCCGCAGGACATCCAGTACGGCCACGGCGCGACTCCGGAAACCTGCAGGGCTTCGAACAGTTCAAGGATGGTTTGTTTAGGGTTTAGGGTTTAGGGTTTAGGGTTTAGGGTTTAGGGTTTAGGGTTTAGGGTTTAGGGTTTAGGGTTTAGGGCTTAGGGTTTAGGGTTTAGGGTTTAGGGTTTAGGGTGTAGGGTGTAGGGTGTAGGGTTTAGGGTTTTCAGGGTTTAGGGCTTAGGGAAAGACCGCAGCTCCCTTGCAAAACTAGTCCCCAGACATTCACTCGACAACCCTACAAACCCTGAGCCCTTCTCCACCCCTAAACTGAACCCTAAACCCTAGACCCCAAACCCTAAACCCTGAATTCCTAAACCCCTCAAACCCTAAACCCTTTCCCGGAAGCCTACTTGGAGGTTCATGCACTTACCAACCCAACTATAGCCGTACTTGTAACCCGAATACAACCATGTTAGGGCAGTGAAACGGCTTACAAGTGGGTTCTAAGCACAGGTATGACTGGGTTACGAGTACCATGAACCTCCAAGTAAACAACCTCTAAACCCTGAACCCTAAACCCTAAACCCTAAACCCTAAACCCTAAACCTCTTTTCATATATATATATATATTTTTTTTTTGTATTTATTTAAACCCTAGTGAATTCGTCGAATAAGCCAAGTCCTTCGTCGAATAAGCCAAGTCCTTCGTCGAATAAGCCAAGTCCTTCGTCGAATAAGCCAAGCCCTTCGTCGATTAAGGCAAGCCCTTGGATGAAAATCTTATATTTTCTTAATGTTATGGGATTCTTTGGGCGGGTGGTTTTTTTTCCTAAGCCTGGAACCCCCCCAAAGACTATGAATGCTAGAACAGTGACCCTCTAGACCCTAAACCCTAACCCCTAAACCCTAAACCCTAAACCCTGCAGGCGCCAAGGAGCTGCTTTCAAGCTGCGACCTCCCCTGTTCCTGGGCCAGCTCCTCTTGGACAGAGCCCTGCAGATGCCGTGGCATTTAAGGTTTAGGGTGTAGGGTTTAGGGTTTAGGGCTAGGGTTTAGGGTTTAGGGGTTTAGGGGTTTAGGGTTTAGGGTTTAGGGTTTAGGCTTTAGGCTTTATGCTTTAGGCTTTAGGTTTTAGGGCTCGGGTTTAGGGTTGAGGGTTTGGTTTAGAGTTTAGGGGTTTAGGGTTTAGGATTTAGGGCCAAGGTTCAGGGTTCAGGGTTTAGGGTTTGGGGTTCGGGCTTTAGGTTTGGGATTTTTAGAGTCCAAGAAGCTTCAGTGTTGTGACAGTCTTTTGGGCCATTTGTTCAATGAAAGTCACCAAACCCTAAACCCTAAACCCTAAACCCTCATATGAATTACGCCGGCCCCGCGCCTCCCAAATCTGTCCCCCCTATGCCTAAAAAACCTATAGAAAACCGGGCAAGGCCCCAACCCCTCACCTTTAGGGTTTAGGGTTTAGGGTTATAAACCTGAAACCACCTAAGCCCTGATCCCACACCCGGCTATCCCACGCCCTAAACCCTTACCATGGCTCCAAGTGAGGAGAGCAGAAGAACTATGTGCTCAAAGCGCCATAAACCCTAACCCCGAACCCCGAACCCCTAAACCCTAAACCCTAAACCCTAAACCCTAAACCCTAAACTAGGAATTAGGTTCATTGCTTTGTAGCTCAGACCAGCACCCTAAGTGCCCAACTCTTCCTCAACTATGATCTTGACCCTGAACATTACGAGGGTTCAGGGTTTAGGGTTGGGGGCTTCCAGGAACCCTAAACCCTAAACCCTAAACCCCAAACCCCAAACCCAAAACCCTAAACCCGAAGGAATCCCTCGCTTGCGGACCGAGATGCCTCTGCCACTCCTCGCAGATTAATTGGGGACAGCTCCAGGAAAGAATCTTCTCCTAAACCCTAAACCCTAAACCCTAAACCCTAAATGGCCGAACCGGGTTCAGGGTTCGGGGTTCGGGGCTCAGGGTGCCGGGTTTAGGGTTTAGGGTTCAGAGCGTCGGGTTCCGGTTTGGGGGTACTCGAGCATTGGGGTTTTAGAGACCCTCTGTACGCTCGCATCTAAGACCGCGCTCTATCTTTCAAAAAGACATAGTAGAACAGATGAGGGGAACAATAATGCTGCACACAGCTGTTTTCATCTATGCACGTTCCGCCCTTCTCATCCCATCGCACCACAGCCCGTGGAATACCTCGCTCCACGGCAAACCCTACATTCTAAGGTTCATGGTCTCACCAAACCTTAGGCCCTAAACTCCCTAAAGCCCCACAACCGAAACCCAGTGAACCTGTGATCTCTCAGACGAATGCGAACAAAGCCACAGCTGTGGAATGGCGCTATGCTTTTCGGCTTTTTCTCTTGAAATGCCGACGTGTCCTCAAACCCTAAGCCCTACTATAAGGCGGCCTCTAATTTGTTTGGGTACCCAGAAAGGGACCACTGTTCTGCCTTTGCGCATTCTGGCGTCATTGTGTATGCCCTTGCAGCAAAGCTGAAACCTACCCTTCCGCCGTTCCGCCCGGGGCTCGTGTCTACACTAATTTCTGAAGATGTCCGAAGCATTTTGCGTTTGCAACCCGGGAGAACATGCTCATTGAAACACTCACTAGCAGGACCTTGGAACCCCCTGTTCCTTACATGTCCAGACGTAGATTCTTGTTGGTCGCTGACTTAGTAGCCCGGTACCCATATTTGGTAGCCCAGGACCCATATTTATAAGAGCGCCCTTTTTGGGTGTCGGTTTCTTTAAAAAGGGAATCGTAGATCCCAAAAAAAGGGAAAAGGGTACAACTGGGCTGCCAAGCTGAAATACGTACCAGCAAAAGCTCAAGCATATATGCATATAAACATATATACACAGATATGTTTCTCCATAGGAGCCCGGGATTGCTTGAACGAGTCAATCAATTGAGGTTGTTGGGGGCTGAGGCCCGAAACCCTAAAATCTAGCAGGGCTTATCCAAAGGCTCCAATGTAGTTCATTTTTGAGCTAGCTATAGGGGATTCTAGTATACTACCCCCAAAAGGTACTACATAGGAGCCTTTGGGTCGGGCTTAGGATTTAGGGTGTCTAGGCCCCCAAGTAAACCCTAAACCCTAAACCCTAAGCCCTTTACCCTAAGTTGCTGTAATTTTGCGGGTCCTTCCGTGCAGAAGATGGCATCGGCCCACTCCACAAAGCATCTGCATCCGGGGAGGAGAAGCTCCCACAGTTCTCTGATTAGAAAAACTGTTCAGGACTTGTTAGGGTTTGGGGTATTGTAGTATAAGGGCTCTAGAAATAGCCTGATAGGAGGACTTTTAAGGGCTTGGGCTGGGAAGGACTCCAGAAGACAGCCTTGGTTCGGGTTCTGGGCCTTTACTTCGTGACGCCTGAGGGCTTAGGGCTGTAAGCTGGAGATGTTTGAGTCGTCTGAGTCTAGGTTTTGGGATAAACTAGCCACTTTGGAGGTGTGATTTGGCTGCTTGAGTTTCCAGCTTCTCCGCAGGCTGGGGCCGGGCTAAACCCCAGCACCCTCGACTCCTCCCCCTTATACTAGCAGTCCTTAATGGGGATTCTAGTATCCCCCCATGATAATCCCTACTAAGGACATGTTAGTATTAGGGGGAACATCCCAACCCTAAACCACCAAACCCAAACCTGCAGGAGATGGTTCGCCGGGGCCGGCTGGGCCCCCAAACAGACACCCCATCCCTACGACTAACCCTAAACCCTAAACCCTAAACCCTAAACCCTAAACTACTGCTCCTCCTGATGCTGCTGCCGCTGCTACTGCTACTGCTACTGCTACTGCTGCTGCTGCTGCTGCTACTACTACTACTACTACTACTACTACTACTACTACTACTACTACTACTTCTACTTCTACTTCTACTTCTACTTCTTACTTGTACTGGTACTCCAAACCTCAAGCCCTGCACTCCTGAACTCCGAAACCCCCTAAACCCTAAACTCCCAAAACTCCAACACCCTGAACCCTAAACTCCTGAGTCCCTAAACCCTAATATTGAACAACACTTGGAGACGCCTCTCAAGGCTTCGGCCACTGGGGTGGCAGCGTTCCTGCGGGACTGGGAGGGAGGTTGGGAAGGTGGGGGGCGGGGAAGGGGGGGAAGGTGGCCAGGGTCTAGGCTTTAGGGGCCTGGGCTTTGAGGTGTTTATAGATTGTTGTTGGCGGGGCTGAGGGGTATGCTCTCAAGTTCATGAGAAAGATAATGGGTTCCCCTACCTCTATACTACCCCCCTCGGTTCCCCCCCCATGAGTAAGGCTACTTCGGGATAATTCAGCATAATGTAGGTCATTTAAGTGGGAAACCTAGGGGGGGCAGTATTGAGGGGGGGGTATTCGTGAAACCCATGAGAAGAAGCCTTGGACTGTTTTTTTGTTTTGCATTTAGGGCGTTGCTCCTTCCAGATGGCAGCGAGGCGCTGGCGCATCTGGCAGCGATGGCGACTGCCAGCATGCCAGATGTGGAACGTCAACGCCAGGCTGCTCCTGCTGCGTATGCGTAGTTCCCTAATGCGATGGTCCTCTTTTTTGAGGGGTTCTTGTGACAATGCGGAGCTCTAGGACTAGCGTGTCCCAAAGCGAAGCAGATTTCAGAAAACTGCCTATGATGGGCACAAGCAAATAGCAACCACAAAAAGCAAGCCCGTTCAACTCCCAAGTAGAAGAATGGGACAACCCAAACTTCTTGAGGTCACTACTTGAAGGTCCGCGGCTATTTCTTTAAGAAGCGTAACGTAGGGGTCGGAAAAAGTACTACTAGTATTCTCTTACGGTCCCTATATGCATCTACTATAATACCCCCCCCCCCAAAACAAAAGACATTTTCTAATGATTGAGGCTCCAAATATACATTAGTACTACTATACTCCCCATAAAGGTATATGAACCACAAACCAATTTAGGGTTCAGTAAATCCCCTCCCGCCAAAAAAACAGACTATTCTAATTATTGAGCACATTGCCCTGAGCCTTAAACCCTAAACCCTAAACCCTAAGCCCTAAGCCCTAAGCCTTAGGGCCCTAAGCCCTAAGCCCTAAACCTAATCCTTAAGCCCTAAACCCTAAATTAACTATATTCATAGACAGCGATTAAGGGACAAAGGCATGGCCCTTATGTGCACTTGGAGGTCCATGGTACTTTTTCACCAATTATTCAGTAGGGTTTAGGGTTCAGGGTTTAGGGTTTAGGAAGGATTGGGGTTGCAAGCCTGAACAGCAAACCCCGAACTGTAAGCAAGTTACTGTAAATCCGAATTGCTCCCTGCGGGAACCCGAGGTATCCTCGAATGGATCCTATACCGCAAAGCCAAACCTCGAACTTGATATCCTGCACTCTATATATGGGGGTTTACGATAGTTAGGGACCCTAGTATAGACCCCCCAAGTAGTAGGATCCGTATAATAAGGACCCCAATAAGGTCCCCCGAATCTCGTAAACCCCCATATGTCCCTAAATTCCTAAAGCCCGGCATTCTGGAAGCTGGCCGGTCCCCTACACCCTGGCCTACGGCAAGCGGACGTTAAAGACGAAACGTGCAGCAGATCTCGCGGAGTGGGCCGAGGGCCGGCCTTTCCTCAGCTTTGTTATCAGGCTCCAGGGCCAAACGGAAGCCTGGCCGAAAGTTTCGACCCACGGCACATGTTGGATGCATGCAGACAGTGCAGAGTCGCGCGGCGTAGCAAAGTGCCGCGAAGTGGCATTTTCACTACGCCTGCCAGCGGGGAAATACCCAGTTTTTGAAGTATAGTACTATTGAAGTTCCGGAGGAGGCCCCCGGGGCTCAGTGGTGTTAGGAGTCTATGGGGAAGAGGGCGCGGGAGAGGTGTAAGTTCGGCGGGTCGAACGCCTGAAGGATTAAAAATAGGGTTTTGGGGCTTATCCGGCAAGGCCTTGGCCGAAGGTGTCTAGGTTGTGAGAACAGGCACCCCCCAAAGCCCGCCACACGTCGACCCCCTTTTTTGCCTGGAATGGGTACCCCCCATAGGTGATTGGGATCTGAAAGCGGCAAGCTTGGGCTCATGCTGTAGGGTCTGGCCAAACCCACCCCTAAACTTCTAAACCCCTAAGCGTATCTTTGCTGCGGGGCTTCGCAGTCCTCCGCAAACGGGTGTCACGTATTCATGCTGCGAGGCAACGTGCGCAATGCTCAGCAGCCCCTGGTTTTTGGTTTAGGGTTTGGGGTTTAGGGTTTAGGGTTCAGATGCCACCATCGGCGCGTGCTGCGGAGGACCGGGAGACTGGCTCCTGTCACAAAAACGCTATCGCGTGCACCCTCCCCCCCCCCCCCCCCCCCCCCCCCCCAACCCCCCTCCACCAGAGTTTCGGCGTTCAGTGCAAAACAGAACTGCACCCTTTGTCTGGCAGGCAGTCAGCCAACCCTTTCGGGTTTAATCCCATTAATTTAGGCATGGGTATGTTTTGGGTGTGTTTTGTAGGCAAGAGTGGGAGCAGATGGTGCCACGTCCCTCCTCATTGGCCAGGCCGAGGCGGGTCGCGTAGCGTTAAAATTCTAGTGTCAAGCTAGGAAGGGACCCTAAGAGAATACTACCAGTAATTATTCCGACCATTATGGTAGTTTTCTGGGGTGGCCTTAGCTGGCCCTGGAGGTTTGGCACGCCTTGAGGGGCTCAGGGCCTCGTGGAGCGCTCGACCAGCGCCCGCCTAATATAGGGTTTAGGGTTTAGGGTTTAGGGTTTAGGGTTTAGGTACTGGTTTTTTCCCTCAGTGGTTCAGGGGCTTTGGGATTTAGGGTTTACGGCAAGGTCATCCCAACATCGGCAAGAACACAAGGATGCACAGGAACCAGCTACACTCAGGTATAGCTTGACTGCCTCCGCGAAGAAGCACCTGTGTGGACACCTTTGTGAAACGCGGAATGAGTAACAGATCCAAGATGCTGATGGAAGATGCTTTCATGCTGCAGCGGCTGCTTGCCAGGCCAGATCACTTGCCAGGTTCCGGCGCGTCTCGACTTTCGGCAGCCAAAGGAATTCTGCACATGCATTGCTGTAGGCCGCGACAAAATATCTTTCCCAAAGCAGTAGCTAGATGTCGTGAACGTGGGGTCTTCAATATGATCTACGATCTATCCCTTAAACCCTAAACCCTAAACCCTAGACTCCTTAATGAAGGGTATTGGGCTCTTTGGAAGAACTCGAGCTCGAGGTCCTAGCGAATGCCTCAGCCGTCTTAAGATGCCCCGCGCCCCATCTGTGCGCCTTCAGGTTCGGGGTGTCGGGCTCAAGGTTTAAGGTTCAGTAGGGTTCGGATTTAGGGTTTGGGGTTTAGGGTTGGGGTTTAGGGCAAGCAACCCTCCCTAAAGAAGGAAGGCTGATGCAGGATCGCCTCCTCTGCCGGTGACGGATCATGCAGCCCCGGGTCCTGTAATCACAGTCGCAGGGATGATATAGGGTGTTTTGTTTAGGGTTTGGGATTAAGGGTTTAGGGGTTAGGGTTTGGGTTAGGGGTTTAGGGTTAAGGTTTTAGGGTTTGGGTTTCAGGGTTTGGGCTTTCCGGGTCCTCCAGAGTCGGTGCCTTCCTTCTGGCCTTGCAGGAGCAAGTTCAGAGTTTGTGGTTCAATGGTGTAGGGTCTGCAAGCCTTGCGAGGCGGCTCCACTGGTTCGGCCTCGGAAACAGGCCGGTTTTAAAACAACTTCAAAACCGACTGTCCCGAAAAGCGCCCAGCTGGGTCGGGCCAGAATCGCAGGTCGCCCCCTTCGTAGAGCTGGATCTCCTGGGAAACACAGGAGCAAGACCATATATCTGTAGGCTGACCAGCGAGGTCGTGGGCTCCATGTCCTCGAAGACGTGTTTTGTGTTGCCCCAGGGGCAGACGGTGACGTCCAGGTCGGTGTGTACTCGTTTGCGTGCCACTTTTTCCAAAGAGCTTGGGTCGATGCGCCTTTTCTGATGCATGGCTCAGGGGTCTGGGTGTCTGAATAGTAGACGAGGGAGCTGGTGGCTACTGCTTGCTGATGATTTGAGTCTAGCTGCAGTGATGGAACGTGCTTCGATGGTGGTCGGGCTGGCGGGATGACTCGTGGCGGTCTGTGTGTTTTATGTAGCTGAGGTGTCGTGCAGAGCAGGACACACTTTTTTTCCATGTCTAGCATCCCTGAACGTGTGCTCGAGGCGCCTGTTCGGCGTCAAGGTCCTGTACATCGCTAGACATGCGCTATGCGTCACGAGCGTTTTGATGAGTGTGCTAATATGGTGGTGGTTCAGATTGACTTTGACTTGCTGGAGGCTCGTTTATGGGTCGTTGGGCGTTGGATCCAGTCCTCGTTTCTTTTGGCGATCCTTTCAGGTATATTGTGGGCTGGTCTTGAAGCCATTGCACGAGGGTATCGTCTGTCGTGTTGGTCTGGTCCATGAGATATATTGGTGTCTCTGATACTGCCTGCTGTAGCAGGTGGCGAATCATTTCTTTGTCTGGCTCTGTGTTCGTGATGCGCATGCTTTGGACAAAGTCATTTCTTCCGTTGTCTAGTTGCATGAACTGGCTTTTCATGCCCATCTCCTTCAGGTTCTTTCGATGCGAGTAAACGTCACCTCGAAGCGTTAACACGTAGGTAGCTCCGGAGGCTTGTGGCTCTTTCTGTAGATGCATTAGCAGGTGTCGTCGGCCGTGGGGTGGCTTGGAACTAAAGGAGTAACTCGAGCTTAGCAAAAGGACAAGCACTGCCGATGCTTGACTCTCCTGACACTCCTGCTGGTCCTGCCTGAGATTTTGTGTCCTTGCCAGCTCTCGAAGTGGCTGCGCAACGGCCAGGTGTTTCCTGAAGCGATGATCTTCACGAGTGACTGGCTTGTGCCTGGACACGCCGCGCACACTCGCAAACAGAGATGTCCAGCACTGTGCGGGCCAGGCAGGTGCGACAGGTCCAGCACCTCCTGCCGTGCGCCCTCCAAGCTCACATCCAGCGTCGGGAACTTGGCAATGGACTCCGCCAAGTCGACAGGGAAGCGGATGATGATCTGCGAGACACGACCCCCTCACCCTGAAGCCCAACCTTCAACCACCTCCCCTCCAAATGCGTTTTGCCGAACCCTCGCTGCTGCCCACAGTTGTACATCCTGCTGCCCCCGCCCGCGCACGCGCACGCGCGTGCCCACACGCACACCCACGCGCGCGCACACCCCCCCCGTGCTCTTGCCTTTACCTCCCTTCCTCGAGCTACAAAGCAAAGGACCAGCGAGCCTGGGTGCCGCTGTAGCCCCGAAACTCCCGCGACTTGAATCGAGAATCGATGAAAGCCATGAGCAGCTCGGCAGCCGGGATGAGATTCTCCGTGCCGCCCCCCACGTAGAGCACAACGTGATACTTCGAGGGTCGTGTGTTTAGCAAGTACTTGTCTCGATTGTACTAGATAGGTAAACCTGCTAAGCACAGTTATAAGTGGTGTCTCCTCCTCTCAGGTGGGAGAACAAGCAGAGCCGGACGAGTTCGCCGTGGAGGACACAGCCCAATAAGGATAAGCTTCGGGTGGTGCCAGCAGTCTTGCTTGTCTTGGCACACTGCAGGAAGACGAGGGTACGGATCAGGCGGCGGGATGGCCGTGCACGAATCCGTGTCTGCAGCCCTCCCTCCGTGAGGACACAGACACAATCCAGGACGACGAGGCTCCGGAGCAGGCGGCGGGGCGGCCGTACACGAATTTGTGTCTGCAGCCCTGCTTCCGTCAGGAGAGCGAGCTTGCAGAGCACGAGGACCACGAGTGGGCAATGCAACCGAGGGTCAGACATCGAAGTTGTTCCTCCTGTGCCAGGAAGCTGTCTTTCGCGAGCCGAAGCCAAAGCGGATGCCGAAGCAGGGCCGGGCCCGATTCTCGGGCCCATGGGCTCGCTGGTTTTTTTGTTGGTAAGAGCAACACGAGGCTCATGAGCTGCGCCTGGTTCCGCGGCAGGGGCAGGTCATGGCCAGTACCGACATCCATACATGCTTTCAGTAGATGTAATCCCTGTCCTGTCGGCAGGCCCCAGCTGTTCGAGTGATCCCCGCTCAGGAGGCTAGGGCGACAGGGGTTGAGGGTTTAGGGTTGGGGGTTTAGGATCCTTCTTTGGGAAAGAAGCTCTGTCGGAAGGGTGTGGTGACTCCCGGCTACGTCAATGTGAAGGGCTTCATGGACAGCTCGGGGCAGTTCCATGAGCCGGGTGGTGGGCGGCTGCGAGCCCGCACCCGTGGAGGCGCCCAGGTGAGGGCTCAGGAGATGAGGGAGCATGCTCGGTCCTGGAGAGTGCTCGTGAGTATGGGGGCCGTTGAGCGGGTGCCTGGGCAGGCGACAGAGACGGCGATGAGCACAGCTGCGGACGCGGTGAAGGCGGTGCTCAACATGAGCGAGGTCGTTCGTCACCAGACCTTCCAGGCAGGCAGGGCTCTGCTATCTTCTGAGCAAGCTTGCTCCGTGTTCGCTCGGCAGGGCCACCCGCCCTCCTCATCCATCTCAAGCTCTGGAAGCCTAACCCAGGACGGCCTTATTTGGTTGAGGTTAAAGGGCTTGGCTCCAGGAGTGTTTGGGCCCAGGGTGTAGGGCTCAGGGTTTAGAGTTCATTGGGGATTTAGGGTTTAGGGTTTAGTGTTAGGGTTGAGGGCTTAGGGTTTAGGGTTTGGGGGCTTAGGGGTTACCCTAAACCCTAAAGCTTAAACCCTAAACCCTAAACCCTAAACGCCAAACCCTAAGCCCTAAACCCTAAACCCTGTCCTCCTCCTCCTCCTCGTACTACTACTACTACTACTACTACTACTACTACTACTACTACTACTACTACTACTACTACTACTCCTACTACTACTACTACGACGACGACTATTCCGACTACTACGACTACTAGGACTACTACGACTACAATTAGTCGTACTTTTACTACTTTAGGGTTTAGGGTTTAGGGGCTTAGGGTTTCGGGATTAGGTTTAGGGTTTAGGGTTCAGGGTTTAGGGTGTAGGGGTTTAGGGTTTAGGGATTAGGGTTTAGGGATTCGGGTTTAGGGTTTAGGGTCTAGGGTTCAGGGTTTAGGGTTTAGGGTTCAGGGTTTAGGCTTTAGGGTTTAGGGTTTCGGGTTTGGGGTTTGGGGTTTAGGGTTTAGAGTTTAGGGTTCAGGGTCTAGGGTTTTTGTTTAGGGTTCCCTACATCCTAAACCGAAAGCCCTTAGCATCGCAGGGGAAGGGCGGCTGCCACTGGTGGTGGCAGGAGTGATTCAGCAGCCTAAGCCGGGGCTTTCCGATGCAGTCGTGCTGAGCCATGGGGCATGGTGTTCGCAGGGAGCTAGGGCAGATTTCGGCTTCAGAAACTAGTGTTGTCTGAGTCAGCCCATGCCTGTTCCCCAGAAGCACCCTTTTATAGATTTATAAGTGTTTTTGTTCTCAAACCAGACAATTTTATAGAATTATAAAATGGGCTGGCTCGGAAAGCACAGGTTATATAAATATATAAGGCTTGGGGGCCCCAGCCTTATAGATCTATAAAATGTGCCGTTTCGGAAGCCAAGCACCTTATAGATCTATAAAACCTTTGTGTTTTGAGCTAGATGCTTGATCTTCCTGTGCGAGCTCCTGACCTGCTGGCACATTGACTTAAAAACCACAACCTGGCACCCAAAGATTAGAATTGCACGGATTCGGAAGGCTTGTTGACCCCGTATTGGGTCGTTTCAAATCCAGGGCGATGTGTAGTCCGGCCGACGGACCGGATCGAAATTGGGTCACCCCGGCATCGGCTCACCACAGACCAGACTTGTTTGAGAAGAGAAAAATGGCAAGGCTCCTGCTCCGATCGGCCCTCCCCGCGCGCAACGTCTGCTCCAGCACTTAGCCCTTCCTCTTCTTTGTTGTCAATCTGCCACCCCGAGTCCTCGCCCAAGCCCCTGTTGTTAGAGGAAGCCCAGCTTAAACCCTACACCCCCAACCCCCCCCCCAGCTTCAAGTGCATGCCCAAAACTCGTGTACCCTTAAACCCTAAACCCCAACCCCCCCCCCCCCCCCCCCAGCTTGAAGAGCAGCCCCAAAACTCGTTACCCTAAACCCTAAACCCCAAACCCCCCCCCCCCCAGCTTGAAGAGCAAGCCCAAAACTCGTGTACCCTTAAACCCGAAACCCCAAACCCCCCCGCCCGCAGCTTGAAGAGCAAGCCCAAAACTCGTGTACCCTTAAACCCTAACCCCAAACCCCCCCCCAGCTTGAAGAGCAAGCCCAAAACTCGTGTACCCTTAAACCCGAAACCCCAAACCCCCGCCCCCAGCTTGAAGAGCAAGCCCAAAACTCGTGTACCCTTAAACCCGAAACCCCCCCCCCCCCCCCCGCGCAGCTTCAAGTGGAAGCCCAAACTGGTGTACCCTTAACCCTAAACCCCAGCCCCCCCCCCCAGCTTGAAGAGCAAGCCCAAACTCGTGTACCCTTAAAACCCTAAACCCCAAACCCCCCCCCCCCCCAGCTTCAAGTGCAAGGCCCAAAGTCCTCTGTGCTTAAACCTTAAACCCTAAACCCAAAACCTCCCAGCTTGAAGTAGAAGCCCGAAAGTCCTGTACCCTTAAACCCTAAACCCCAAACCTCCCAGCTTGAAGTGGAAGCCCAGAAGCCCTGTGCACTTAAACCCTAAACCCCAAACCCCCAAGCTTCAAGTGGAAGGGCAAATGCCCCCGTACCGTTAAACCTTAAACCCGAACCCCAAAACCTGAAGTGCAAGCCCAAAAGTCCTGTGTGCTTAAACCCCACACCCGAAAGCCTGAAGTGCAAGCCCACAAGTCCTGTGTGCTTAAACCTGAATCCCGAAACCCAAAACCCCAAAGCTTCAAGTGGAAGCCCAGAAGTCCTGTGCGCTTAAACCTTCCCTTTGCCCAAAACCCCACAGCTAAAACATTGTAGTAGTAGTAGTAGTAGTAGTAGTAGTAGTAGTAGTAGTAGTAGTAGTAGTAGTAGTAGTAGTAGTAGTAGTAGTAGTAGTAGTAGTAGTAGTAGTAGTAGTAGTAGTAGTAGTAGTAGTAGTAGTAGTAGTAGTAGTAGTAGTAGTAGTAGTAGTAGTAGTAGTAGTAGTAGTAGTAGTAGTAGTAGTAGTAGTAGTAGTAGTAGTAGTAGTAGTAGTAGTAGTAGTAGTAGTAGGAGTAGGAGTAGTAGTAGGAGTAGAGTAGTAGGAGTAGTGGTGTAGTAGAGTAGTAGTAGTAGCAGCAGTAGCAGCAGCAGTAGTAGTAGTAGTAGTAGTAGTAGTAGTAGTAGTAGTAGTAGTAGTAGTAGTAGTAGTAGTAGTAGTAGTAGTAGTAGTAGTAGTAGTAGTAGTAGTAGTAGTAGTAGTAGTACTAGTAGTACAACTGGTAGTTTTGGCGGCGCTAGTACAGTTGTCTGCTGCGCGAGCTTGCAGCCCTGCGAGGTCAGCATACAAAAATGCACAGAAATGCATGTCTTGCAGAGACGGTGACACATGGACTTGTGGGAGAAGCGAGCGAGAGAGAGAGTTACAGCGAGGCTTTCTCATGTTGTGGCTTTTGAGCAGTTCATGCATGTGGACACAGTCGCTGTGCTTATCAATGTGTGCAGAGTTAGTAGCACTTCGTCGGCATGGGACCCAATAAGGGCAAATGCAACAAGATTGTCTTGTCGCCGAGATTACCACCAGTGGCCGATGTCCTGGGTGTGCAGTGTGGAGTCTTCTCAAGTGGATGGCAGAAGGCCTCCCCACGCAAGCCTTGGCTGGAGCAAGAAGAAAGAAGACAAGAAATCATGGAGTGGCTCAGCCTCGCCGAGCCGGGGGAGGTGAAATACAAGGACGAAGGTTACTGGCTGGTTGTGGAAGAAAGAGAAGGTGACGAAGTCCTCGTCATGGACTATGATGCAAAAGAATATGTAGCTCTGAGACTGCTGCGAGTGTCACACATCGATTTGCACAGCATGGACTGAGAGGTGGGCTGCCATAGTGAAACACCCGCCAACTGGAATTTTGCCTTGTGTGTCTGCTGTGAGCACAGCCGTTGCATGCATCAGCATCCATGCACACCATTCCTGTGTGCCTGCACACGTTACCAGAATCATGCCGAAGCTGCATTGCACTTCTTTTCAGCTGCTCAAAGCCTGGTGCCCACACATATTCCCTCGTTCAGTGCCCTTGCAGGGCTTGTAAAGCTCGCAAGAGGCCATGGCAGCTTCGGAGGTGGATGCTCTGAAGCAGGAGATTCTAGCCACGAACCAGTTCATGGAGAACATGAAAAGCATGCCCAACTTCCAGAGCATTTTGGATGTGCAAGCAAGAGCACTTGTGCAGCGAATCGTGAAAATGGGTGGCATGGCTGCTGATGCAGCAGCATGGTGCAAGGGGCCATGGTCGGAGTCGCACAAGACAGAGTTCGGCAATGCCCTCTCCACTGCAGTTGCAGCAGGAGGAACCAAGAAGAAAGGAGATCGGCGAGCCGGGCAGGAAGTCAGAAGCTTTGAGAGGTTCTTGTCGGAGAAGGACTTGGAGGTGTTGCGAAGCGACAGCAGCCTGAGCATGAAACTCGACATCCTCGCCACACGGTGCTTGAAAGTGCAGCTCGTGTTGCCCACGGAAAGCTCGTACCGTGCCATTGTGGGGGCAGGGCAAGCAGTGGGCAACTTGGCCACATCAGAAGCCGAACTCCACTCTGTGGTCGTCGACTTTAAGAAGACACTCAAGAGGAAGACCAAGAACTTCGACAAGAATATCCCGTTGCTCAGCGACTTCCCGCTGGATCCGACAGGCTTGCCTAGTCATGTCAGAGATGCTGCCTACAGTGCCGAGGATGCACCCCACTCTGGCTGCCTGCAGCAGCAGGCAATCCACGACGCCAGCAACTCTCTCATTTTGAGAGGCTCCGACAGAAGGATTCGAGACAGGCGGCAGTCTGGGATGTTGGCTGCTGCCGACAGTGGCATGGCCCAGAGCGCGGCAGCCAACATGGCCTCCATGACGAGCATGCTGAGCATGATGCAGATGTGTCAGAGGATGATGCAGGAGCAAAGCATGCAAGGGCAGGGCCTGCCGGGCTTGCAGCTGTTTGGACAGAGGCGAGGGTCACCCACAACGTCCAGTGTCACAGGGCAAGACTTCCAGAAGGAGGCTGAGCAAGGCACAGTCGTGGGGGCCAACAGACAGGAGGAGCAACTGGCCTTGACCTCTGGAACACCTACAACTTCCAAGCCGGGTCCTGCTCAGGCTGCCAGCCCAGCCTCGACTTCGCAAAAGGGGACTCAGTTTCAGGTCGACCTGGAAGACGACATCGTGCAGCAAGCCGCTGCAGTCTCGGACGCCATCGACAACAAGAAGGGCAAGAACAAGAAGGCTCCCAAAACATCGGAGACTTTCAAAGCGCAGCACACCAAAGGGAATGGCAAGGGCAAGAACGACCAGAACACCAAAGGGAAGGGCAAGGGCAAGAACGGCAAGAGCCAGGGCACCACAAAGGCCGGTGCGAAGGCAAAGTCCAAGCCAAAGGCCGGCAGCAAGAGCAAAGGTCAGGGATCCACTAGTGGCAAGGCGAAGTGTCAGCTGTCTTTGAAGAGACGGGTGGCATTGAGACCTAATGGATGCTCTAAATGTCGCTGGAAGGTCGGATGCTACCCTAGTTGTTTTCGCTGAAGGCATCCACTGCTCCATTGTGCTCAAAGAGCTTGCGACAAGCATGGTTCCTGTTCATGTATATGTCTGTGTATGTTTAGAGATGTATTTTGTCGTCTGCTTCTAGCTCCAGTGTATGTCTTCATCTTGACAACCGTGCAGGCTTCCCGTTCCCTACACTTTCATTCCCCATGGGGTAGAGGGGTTTGTGTACAGACGTGCTTCGTCAGCTTTCAGGTGGCTTTCCATGTGAGAAAAAAGGAGAGTCAAGCCTCAAGTGTCAAGCGTGCTGCAGCTGTCTGAATGACGAGTGCTGCATTGCCCAGGGACGAATGCCTGTGATCTTGACACTCAAGCGGTTTTGGGATCGTTGGGTTTAGGGTTTTGAATTTACGGCCTAGGGTTAGAGGTTGGGGCGCAGGGCTTTAAGGGATTCTGGTTGAGGGTTTTTTTTTTAATTTAGGGGTGAGAAGTTTAGGGTGGGTCTGTGTATAGGGCATCTTTCATGTCTGTGATGTAGTTCCCCAGCAGGGCTATCAGCTCGCTGGCGGATATCAATCTACATCTGTTTTCTGTATAGACCAGCCATTGCTATGGCCTCTGCTTCTGCGAAGTCACAGGCTTTGGCCAGAGTGGGTCGAAAGCACTTTGTGAGCCAACGAGCTTTGGAAGCAGTTCTGCGAGAGGTGGAGCAGAACCCAGAAGTCCTCGGCTCCTCCAGGGGATCCATCAAGCGATCAAGAGACGAGCATGTGGACGTGGAAACTCCATATGGAAAGTTGCTCGGCAAGCTGCTGGTCCCAGTGAAGCACAAGAAGGGCATCAAGAACCTGCAGCTTCCCGTTCTAAATTTGCAAGCCTTTCTGTGGTACATGTGCAGCATGGTGCCGTGCATGTCTGCATTTATGCAGCAACGACTGGCCCTTCATCCAAGCACAGCCGACCGAAAATGGAGGCTTTGCTTATACGTCGACGAAATCTCGCCAGGCAACCCCTTGCGACCTCTCAACACCAGGAAAATTCACGCCTACTATGCCAGCTTCGTGGAACTTGGCCCGGAAGCTCGATGTCAGGAACGGTTTTGGTTTTGTGTTTGCCTGGCTCGCACCAGTGTTGTCAACTCCATCGTCGGAGGCTTATCAGGCCTGACACACAAGATTCTCGACAGCCCAGACATCAAAAACTTGGCGAATGGCTGCCTTCTTACGATGGGACCTACGAGCCAAAGCGAGAAGTATCTTTTCTTTGCTGAAATGCATACGATGGTGGGGGACGAGGCAGCCTTGAAGATGGTCTTCGACATCAAGGGGGCCTCAGGCACGTTGCCCTGCGGCCTATGCACCAATCTTGTGTCCAGGCTCCAAGAACATGACCGAACTGGGACATTGTTGCCACTCCACACGACTGACCATACCCTGCTGCGATCGGTCTCAAACGAGAGTGCATGGCAAACCCAGGCTTTGTTGATCTCGCGAGAAGCGACGATGACAAAGAAGGACTTCGGTCAGCTCCAGCAGAGCCTCGGGGTCAACTGCAATCCCCATGGTGTTCTGGCGCACAGATCCTTGGGCATCAAGAGTAGCTTGATGTACGACTGGATGCACATCTATCTAGTCAACGGTCTCTACCACCAAGAAGTGGGTAGACTTTTGCCCAAACTTTACGAATCTGGCCATTCGGCAGACAGCATCTTGTCGTTCATGGAAAGCTTCGCTTGGCCCCACAACTTGACATCCAGGAGGAACGAGACGTTGCAGTGCTTTCAAAAGAAGATCTCCCCTGACGAGTTCAGGGCATCAGCGTCTCAAAGCCTGAACTCCTATCCTTTGCTTCGGCTCTTCGTCTTGGGTTTGGGTGTGATGGACTGCAGTGCTTTGATCGGGGCTGTGAAGTCTTTCCTCAAACTCTGCCTCGTGCTTGACCTCTTGGTCGATGGCAACCGTGGCAATCCTTTAGAGGCTGACACTCTGCATAATGCAGTTGTGGATCATCTCCAGGCTAGTCTCGCATCGCATGGTGAGCTTGGTGTCGTACCCAAGTTTCACTATGCTTTGCATCTCGGCTTGATAGCCAGGGAGAAAGACCTCATCTCGTGCTTTACTCACGAGAGAAAGCACCGAGAAATAAAACGGAAGGCAAACCAACTGCACAATCCTCAGCACTGGTTCGAGGAAGCCGTCCTGAAGGATGTCTGGGGCACAGCTCTGCTCGAACTCGAAGGCACTGCTACTGTGCAACCACACCTGGTGGCACCGAAGCTGGATCCTGCAGTAAATACCTCTTCTTGCACCTTTTCCGTAAAGTAGCCATTGTGAAATAAAGTTCCAATATTTTTTCTCCTTGGTTACTTTTATTTTCAAGCCCAGGAAAGCAGCATCGCAGCAGCTGCAGGCCCTCTTGGTGGCAGAGTTTGGCTTCAAGGCTGTCGGAGGTGCAGAGGTCGCCACGATCGCACAGGTCGCAGCAGGCCAAACGTGCCAGACAGGCGACAAGGTGTTGTTGAAGAGCGGCGAGGTCGTGGAGGTCTGCCTACACTGCAGACTTCCCGATGGTCTTTTGACGACACTTTGCTATCTTCTGGAGCCTCTGGGTCGGAATCGCTTCAAGCTTGCGACCCAAGGCCATTTTCGTGCAAGCTCAGACATCAAGCGAACGTGCTTGTGGCGATGGGAGATGGGACTGATCACGGTTGTGCCTTGAAACAGACGTGAAACGAAGGGACGACGGGGGGGCGGGGTGTATAGCATGGCTGTATATATGACGCAGTGCCTGCATGCAACAACATGTGCATACAAATGTCGACTCCAAACTCTGCTTTGCTAAGTACATGAACTCTACTTACCTAAGTCTGCTAAATCCTCTAGCATAACTCTACTTAGGACACTTAAGCTATCCACGCTAACTTCACTTAATACCTACCCCAAGTGATTATTAAGTCTTGCAACTACTTAGCAAGCCCATGAGCCTCGAAGTACGGAGCCTGCCTGCCGAGGCGCAGAACCATCTGCGCGATGTCGGCCTAACGAAACGCCGCAAGCACCGACCTACCCGGAACCCTCCGACCTAACCCTAGGTCCTTACGAACCCCAGACCCTGAACCCCGAACCCTACATATCCCGCTACATTTTCCGCGCTTTCAGCCAGGCGTCGAGACTTTCGACCGAGCGCCCAAAGGCCGGCGCAGCGTCCGTTGCTAAGAACTGCTCGAGCGTATTCTTCATCTGGTACGTCACCGATGGCCGCCCACTATGCAAGATGTGCAATGCATAGACAGCCTCCGCCGGCTCCATGGAGTCATGAACCAGAGCCCCATCACCTCCATAATAGAAGGCTTCGATGACAATGCTGGATCGGTTTGAGGCGGTCTGCAATGCAAGCGATTTCCGCTTCTTCGGCCCCGTCACCTGCCCTGCACGTACTGCAGGCGCAGAAAGCTGCGTTGCCGCCATGGGGCCTCTGGCAAGGCCTGCTTTCGGCTTCGCTCCGTGAGATGACGACATGCGAACCCTCCAGGCTAGGAACACACACGCTACGCCGCCTGAGCCTCGCCCTGCCCGGAGCAGCCTGCACTCCCGTGCAGGTTCACAAATTCCACACCCGACACCTGAAACCCTAAACCCTTGACACTACCCTGAAGCTCCAATTGCTCTTAAATAAGGCAGCCATGGTTTCTAGACGTCAGACGTCTTATATCATAGTGCGATTTAGGAGCAACAACCTTAAATAAGAGTTCAGACTCTTTATTTAAGACTCAGAAGCCTTAAACCTAATGCTTGTTTAAGGCTGCCAGCCTTAAATAAGCATTCTAAAAACCATCCTTATTTAAGCCTTCCATAAACAGCAGGAGATAGCAAATCTGCAGCTATACTCTCCTGAAAAATATATAGAGAAGGCACCGAAATATGCAACAGGACATGCACACTCGATCAAGCCTTTGGTCACGAGGTCAGCACGGGCAGAGAGTTCTTTGCTCGAAACTTGTCCAAGACCTGCTCCGAAGAGCTCTTGGGGGTGTTCCAGCCACCCTTTGCCCGAACCATAGCTGCAGCTGCCCCTCCAAAGTCCTCATCTCTGTAACACCAAAGTTCCTTAGGATTGGTGTCTGAAGCAGCCAAATGCATGAACATGTGAAGCTTCGGCTTGGGCCGCCAATGGATGCCATCTGCAAGAAAATCTTTCAAGGCAACATACTGCAGGGCAAACTTCTTAGCAGCATCCTCCAGCAAATAGGGCATGTAGGGCTCAATGTTCAGTGCATTGTAAGCCTCCAGGAGCCAGTGGATTACAGCTATGGTGGCCTCCTCGACCGGAACACTGCTGTCCAGATGTTGATGACACAGCTCTGCCAAAATGGGGACAAGTCTTCGAACCTCAGCTCCTTTAGCCTTCAGCTTTGGGGGGCTAGAAGCATCTTTTCGAATCATGGTCTGGGTCAAAGTCGCTAGCGTATCCTGGTCGACACCATGCCTTTTATAGGCAGCACGAATGAGCAAAAACAATGTGGCCAGCCTGTCTTTGATGTTGTCTCCTTCCATCTTTTCCTGGAGTTGCCACAGAATGTTCCCACAAGTATCGGCGGCTATGCCCAAGTCGACTATGTGCAGCCAATCAAGCCTCACCACAGACAAAGTGAAGCCTGGAAAGGCCCAAACGGGAGAAATTGGCCGAGCCTCCCGAAAAAATCGCTCCATAAATGACCATTGTGAAAAAAATGCTTGTCTCCAGCTGGCAGTGGAGTGCACCTGGCCAACGTCTTCTGGCTTGGCGGGGCACTTGAAGCAGATTCCAGCCTTTTCATTGTGGGCAGGCAAACCCAGCAAGTCCTTCATCATCTTCCAATCGCCCCTAAACTGAGTGAGCAGAGCTGTTGGGAGGTCACTTCCAGAAAGTCTCTGTCGAAACTTTTCCTTGTGAGGAAGGAAGGGGCTGTTGTCATGTCGAGTACTGGGGGCTTTCCCCAAGGCCAAGGCTCGGAATGACCAAGCAATCACTGCCATCATCTCATGCAGTGTTACCTGCTTCACTTGGAAGCTTTTCTTGATTGCACAGATCGGAAAACGGTAGCCTGGCACGGATGGCATGGCAAGTGCCACGATGTCGAGGGTCTCACTGCGATCCCAATTGCATGGAACTCCATCACTCCACAGGCTTAGTGGAAAATTGCTTTCGGGATCCTGTGGAGGCTGGCAGGCTGCAGCATGTGCTGCCCTGATGCAGTGATCTTCCCTGGACACTGCTTGCCCCAAAATAAATGCTGGGTCACCAAACTCAAACAGCTTAAGCAAAATCTCATGGGGCAGGAGGAAAGGGATGCTGGCCTTCTCCTCCTGTTGCTTCTTATTGTTGAAGACAGTGATGTCGGCCCAATACAGCTTGGGCCAGTGGCTCTCCCTGAGCAATTTTCTTTTCAGGGATCTGTTGGCATTGTGGCCGCCAATCCTTGCCAGGTCGTCGGGCTGCCTCAGCATCCTGAAACAAGGAAGCAGTTCTTTTGCCAGTCAGCTGCCCCCCCAAGAAAGCATCGCCAAGATTCTTCCGGAATCTCTTTGCAAAAGGAACTTTGTCCTGCAGGTAGCCTCTCTTGTTCTTGGACAGCATGGCAGACAATCAGGCGGAAAAAAACTTAGCAAAACTCAGGCTGAACAGTACTTAGCAAAACTCAGGCTGCCCATCCTAGAGTCCGGAGCCTCAGGCTTATACACGGCTGCTCAGAGCATGCATGCAGAACCCTGCCATAGCCCAAAGCTGCGAGCACATATGCTGTCAACAAAGGGGAGTGTGTCAACAAGAACAGCAGCAGCAAGTGGCATATGGGCAAGCTGCATCGGCCAGAAGCTTGCAATGGTCTGCAAAAAAAGCATGTCTGTTTTTTTGACTCTGGCGCCAGCTATCCAAACGAAGCTTCTGTGAGCATGACAGTTGCGATGCATCTCAGGATCCTTGGCTTGGCCCAAGTTTGCACAAAGGCCCAAAACAGCCTTCTTCGTGGATCCCAAACACAGGAGTGCACCACTCCCGAAGCCTAGCTCACCCAGCCCCTTACCCTTTTCGTTAGGGCGGTGGCCTGGTCAAGGTGCTCAGAAGCACTCTCCACGAAAAGCTTCAGGTTCTCTATCTCCTTGCCACACTGCTTCTCGTCCATACCGTCGGCCTTCTGCTGCAGAAGGACCACCACCTTCTTGAGGTCCTTGACGAATGCTTCGAGCTCAGCCACGGGCTGGACAAGGTCCTTCTTCTTGGACTTGAGCTTGTTGTCTGCCTCGACCTGGAACACCAGCCCATCAAGCTCGCTCTTCTTGGCCTCCAGCTTCTTCACAGCTGACTGGGCTGTCTTCAGGAGATTCTTCAGCTCGGCTTTCAGTGGGAACTCAACCTTGATCTCCACCGTGTTCGAGTCTTTGAGGGCCTTGAACTGGGCACCAGTGAGCTGGGCATCGAAGCTGAAGCTCGTGGTATCCTCCAGCTTCACACTGTCCTTGCTTTCAAGCATGGACCGATAGAAATATCGGCTGAGCTCCGGAATGGTGGCATGGACTTGCTGGCACCTTGTGTGCTTGTAGAAATCCTCGCTCTCCTTCAGGAGTGCCTCGAGGACCTCCTGTCGCCTTGGCTCCGAAACGTCCGAGACCTGAAGGCCATTCATCTGAAAGATTCGAGCCCTCAGTGGATCATGTTGTGAAATCACAAAATCAAAGAAGGCCTAGCTATGTAAAAAAATCAAATTGTGCCTGATGGCATCGTCATCATCCCCTTGTTGGTCTGATCCTCCTCAGTCTCTGCACGAGTGCTGGTAACCGAAAAGGAGGCCAACCACTGGAGGTTCTTAATGCCGAACTTGTGGTAGTTGCTCAAGAAGTCCCTTTGATCCTTGTCTTGGATCTTCTTGTAGGCCTGCAGGCTTCAATGTGGGTATCAGCAACTTAAAATGCACGCAAAGAGCAACATTCTAAAGAAGAAGTGCCTCCAGGGCCTGGACAGCTTCCTCTCGCCCTTCGCCCTTCTTATTCTTCTCCGGGTCGGCTCGGTACTTCAGGAAACCCAGCATCCTGCTGATGCTGCCCCGGATTTCACTGCTATCCTCCGGAACAGCAATGGCCTGGACCTTTGCTGGCTTTCCTCCATTCTCGCCCTTGTTCTTGGGGGACATTTCCTATCTAGCTGTAGCCCGGGACTGAAAACTGGATTGCTGGCACAGATCTCGAGCAGCAGCAGCCAAAAAAAAAAACTGAAGAAACCCTCAACCCTAAACCCCAAACAGAGAGAGACCCTACAAAACGAAACCCCATACCCTAAACCCTAAACCCTACCCCCGACAGGTAGGCAAGACAGAAAAACCCTAAACCCTAAACCTTATATAAGCGGCGAGAAGGAAAACCCTAAACCTTAAACCCCTCCGAGCTGCCCCAGGCACCCCCTCCACGAGGGTTTAGGGTTCAGGTTTAGGGGTGCCTCTAGGTTGATGTATGTATATATATACATATGTACATATCTTTGTGCATGATATATGCATATATATATATATGTGATATAAAGAAAACATATATACATACATATATATGCATATATACATATGTCTTAAACACGTATGATATGTACACATATAAATATACATATAAATATAAATATAAATAAACAACTAAATAAACATATATATATATATACATACTCATGTGTATATACATATATATATATATATTCTA